CTAATGTTGAAAGTACGTGATGGATTAAGGTCATTTTGACCTGAAACCACAGAGCTGAGCAGAATCTTGAGTGTGTAATAAAAACTGGCAGTAGAAACCACAGTATCATAAAGCAGGAATTTGCTGGCTGGTACCAGGTTGATAAGATAAAGAAATGAGTTTTGGTTGTACATGATGACTGGCAAAATTGTTTTACTTTTATCTCTGAAACTGAAAATGACTAATTACAGAACAGTCATGCTGTTAATGAAATTTTGCAATCTTTGCTGTATATATTTCAAACCTTGCAGCTGCAAAATTACACTCAGACCTTCACCAAGCTCTTGTGTGTCTGTTTGTCACTCGCCGAATCCTTGCCCAACCTCTCAAGGACCCTGTTCCCATTGGACTGAACTGCTCCAGTCTGGGCTGGTCTGTCGCAGTACAGTGTGAGACACAGGGCTTTGAACCGTGGGTCACAGGCCATTAGTGTCATTTGTTTGATGATTGCCATCTCCTCCCTGAGGAGGTCTAACTATTGTTGGATGACAGAAATGGCCTGGAAGAGGTGTTGATTAAGAAGAGATTGAGTGTGTAAGGCCGCAAAGGTTTTGGATATGACCTCATTGAGTGTTTGCACAGTAGTGGAAGATTGAGTGATAGCAACAGCAGCAGTGGCAGCAGCCCCTAAGGAAAGGATAATGGCTGTGACAATTGTCACAGTAATACCAAAATCTCTCTAGATCTGGGGGAAGGGTTGGAGAGCCATCTGTTCCATGAGGGTGATAACATGGAAATGAGAAGCATTGGGAACGGGAACTCAGATTGCTGCCGGTTCACGCACAAAGAGAACAAGAGAGGCAGGGAAAATCCAGCATGCCAAGAGGGTGCAGTTAATGAGGGAGCAGTTAAGGGTATCCCCCAGGTCGTCCGTGACATCAGCAAGAAGCAGAGCAAACAGTGGTCGAATGCAAACAGGTGAGATCAAATGGGAGATGTTAACAGAGACTTCATTAGGTGTCCAATCCAGGTTCATGAAACCCGTGTCATTCCCCGTATATGTACCATTAAAGATGGCTCCTCCTAAATCAAAGAGGACGCAAATCCAGGCAGGCCGCTGGCCTGCAGAGCTCCCAGGCCCCCTGACAGTGTCTTTATGCCTGTGATCAGGGTAGACATAGGAGTAAGGTTTTGCAGAGACAAGGTGTCTCCAGGCTGCCAGGGAGGAAGCCTGTGGGCATCCACCATAATCTGTAAAGGGGAGCGTACCTACAGGAGTGAACGAGAGGCAGTGTTCCCATGGAACAGGAAAGCGCAATACAGTGAGAAGCTTATGGGTGGGAGGGCACTGGGTCCACAGAGGATGCGTGACCCTTCTGGGGGGAGGGGTGGTGGTCCCAGTGCCCCCACTGCTCAGTGTAGTCACTGTATTGTGTTTTACTAAGGGAGACCAGATTTTGAGGCCCTATAAGGAGCCCTGGCTCAGGTTTCCACCAAAGTTGCCTGTTGTGATGTTAAAGAGGGAGCAACAGCGAGAGACATTAGGGGAGGAGGGGTTAAGGACTGGGCTGAAGCAGAGCGATCCTGCAAGGGACCATGTGCCATTTATGGGAACAGACATATGAACCAATTCCATGGTGGGGAGACCAAGGGATTCATTAGTAGTAAAGAGAACCGGGAAAGCTGCTGACTGTTCATCTACAGGGAGGATCAGAGGTGGTAAGGGGATCAGTGTCAGGTGGTCTGAAGCCTGGGGTGAAGCACAGCCAAAGGGCAAAAGGGTGCCAAGGACAACAAAGCCAGAAAAGGGTGTCATGGCTTATCCAACTCGCAGTCGGGCCCGGTCTCCAGATGGGTTTCCTTCCATAGCTGGTCAGATGTTTCTTGATGGAATCCAGATGGGGGCCATAGAATCCTGTGGAAAAATACAAGCATATCCTCATCCTCATGTCAGGATGAGGGCTGGTTTCTGCCATAGGGATGAAATAGGATCCCTCCATCTAACTAGTGGCAGAGGCGTAGCCTGAGGCAAGGAGGACCAATGTGTGTATGCTGGACTGAGACCCTGGTCATCAAACATGAGGAAATTAAAGTGGAACAAAGCCTCAGTAAGAGCCAGGTGAGGGTCACATTTGGCCTCAGCTGAGGGGCTTTTAGCCAGGAGGGACTTAAGTGTCCTGTTGTTCCTTTTGACAATGGCTTGTCCTTGCAGGTTATAGAGAACACCAAAGGTATGTTTGATTCCCCAGGAGGAAACAAATTTGTTGAATTCTTGAGAGGAATAAATGGGCCCATTATCAGTATTAAGCACCCAGGGTACACCCATGATTAACATGGCGGACTTTATAGCTTTAATGGCATGTATAGCCTTTTCCCCTGAGAGAGCTAAAGCATAAGTAAGGGAGGAGCGTGTATCAACTATAACATGAATGAATCTCAATTTTCCAAAAGAGGGGTAGTGAGTCACGTCCATCTGCCAAATGGCATTGGGTATCAAACCATGGGGGTTCATTCCTCCCCTGTTAAGGGGCCCAAGAGGCATGAGCGGGGCACAGGTGGCACATGACCAGACAAGGTGTTGCATTGGGACATGGGGATTCCTGGGAGGAGTTTATGAATACTCTGAGGGGACAGGTGGAATTGTTGGTGTAAAGCTCTTGCTTGTTCTAACAGGATAGACTGGACTGTCATGATCATGGCACCTGTGGCAGCATTCCCCCGAGCTAGGATTCCGGGAAGGGCAGAATGTGAGTGGCTATGAGATGAACCATGGGTGACTTCTATTTTTTATGCATTCCTGTAGCTTGACCATAGTGAGGTAGAGTTTTTAACATGAGAAAAGGCGATGACCTTAGAGACCTGAACAGCACAGGCACTATCAGAAAAGAGATTTAGGGGTTCGTCCTGGCACTCTGCTAAAGCTTTAAGTATAGCAAGAAGTTCTCCCAACTGGACAGAGCCAGGATTAGGGATGATGTGGGTGACATACTTTTTTTCCAGGATGATGTATCAGGACCCCAAAGTTCTTCTTATTAGTGTCCGAAAAAGCAATGGTCTCTTGGGGAATTGGGGAAGAGGAAGGGGTACTGTATGGCTTAACCTCAAATGGCAATGTGAGAAGGGCCAGTCTTGGGGCTGGTGATTGTCAATGGTGCCTGGGAAGCCTGACATCATAGTCTGAAAACTTACGGAATTGGCCCAGAGGGCCTTTAGATTATGGAGGGGAAAGGGGAGCACAATAGCTTCGGGTTGTCTATTGATGTTTCTTCGAGCTTGAGTGCACAGTTTGACTGCCAGATTAAAGGCCAGATCAAACTTGGAGGAAACCTGCTGGAGCTCCGAGTATGAGAGATGGACCCAGATTAGTGGCCCAGTCTGCCAAAGGGCACCAAGCAAGCCAGAAGAAGTCAATAGCACTAAAGCCTGTAGGGATTGTAAGGGCTCATATCTGTCAAGGGTTGTTGACGAGAGTAATTCAATGATCTTTTGCAATAGGGCAATGGCCAGGGGAGTTAAGTTAATCTTTGCTGAAGGGCAGGTGGGGCCCTCCAAGAGAGAAAACAGTGCCCTCAGTTCCTCCGAGGGAATGGGCAAGAACGGTTTAAGCCAGTTTATGATGCCACAGAGTTGTTGAAAATCAGCTAGTGTATGGACCAGCTTTGAATTAAAGGCAGGGGCCATAGGGTGTACGCTGGCTGAAATGGTATGCCCCCAAAAGGCATAAGGAGGCACCTCCTGTAACTTATCTAAGGCGATAGCCAACCAAAGAGACTCGCTCTTGGTGATGATAGTAACATCATCTCCCATGTCCACTAGGCCCTTCACAGTGATCCCATCCAGGAATAAGGTCATTAGGGGGGAGTGACTAAGAATCAGAAGGGTCCATAAAACCTGTCTCGTTCCCCTGAGGGAATGCTGAGGGGCGCCCCGGGTGGAGTTTAAAGGAGTTGAGTCCGAATGGGGCTGTGACCTTCAATCTTTTGCCCAATGAAATCCCTTTCTGCATTTGGGGCAGCGGGTCTTGGGACGAGCTCCGTTGTTCGGTCAGTCCCTGCGGAGGTGTCCTGTCCTCCCGCAGTTCCAGCAGCCATCTTTTGAATCAGAAGGAGTGGGCCTTCCTTGTAATAAGAGAGCCTCTAAGGAGGTCGTCAGGACCTCAATGGGCCCTGTCCTGGGGTCTAGGTCTCTAGTGGCGAGTACTCATTTATGAATATCATCATTGTGGACAGGCACAATAGCATTGTTGGTAGGAGTATTTAGGCCTTCCCATGCCAACTGTTTGAGGAGCATATCTCAAGTGGGCCCAGACTCCACTCTCCATTCCACCACTCCAGTGACTCAGGCGAGGAAGTCCGTGAAGGACTCCCCTGGCTGCTGAATTAAATTGCGAAGAATGCCTGTGGGTCACAGGGGGAGCAACATTTAAGGGCTTTGAATGCCAAGTCACTAACTTGTTGGTAGTAAGCATGAAGGCCAATAGTGGACTGGGAAATGGGGTCAATATATTGTCCACGTCCTGTGCACATATCCAGAGTAATATTAAGGCCATATTGAAGGGTGAGACGTGCCTGATTTTCAGCCTGATCATCGTAGGCTGAACGCCAGCTCAGGAAGATGGAGGGCTCCAATACTGCCTTGAATAAGTTATACCAATCGTAATGGGTCTGTAACTGCATGACCCATTGGCAGAGAACTTGCTCAAAATATGGGGAATCAGAGTCTGATTCATTGGTGGCTTTGTGGATGAGTTTAAGGTCTGTAAGAGGGGTGCACACCCATGGCTGTTGCACAGCGTTGGGGCCGACATTAATGGGAAAGGCAGACATGGGCCGGCGAGGTGCAGCAAGGGGTGGACGGCCCATGGGGGGGTTATAATGAGTGGGAAGTGCATTGGAGCAGGCAGAACGTACTTTCTTCCAAGGGTACTGGGGTGGTGTTGTCTCTGATGTTGTGGCTTTGAAAGTGGGGTCCGAGGTAGGGGCAAGGGGGCCCCTTCCTCATCTGGATCGACCTTAAGGCTGGTTACCATATCAAGGTCAGTGGGGGTGAAGTGATGGCAAGGTCTACATTGTCCTGCTCCTGACAATGTTTGTTGTGGGCTGAAATGGCTTCTTCAGGGGAGGAAGATTTAAGGCTGGCAATGATGGCTAAAAGGATCAGGACAAATGAGGCAGGGGGAATAACTCTTGATCCTACTTCCCTTTTCTGGGCCAAGAAAAGGATCCACATCCAGAGGTCAGGATTCCACACATTCTCAGGAGAGACCCAAGGGGCCAAGTTAGTGGCCTCATCCCAGAAATTCTCAATATCTTTTGGTTTTACTTTCAGTCCCCGAGTTCTAAGGAGTGATTTGAGTGCTGCCGTTTGTGGCTCCTTGCACTGTGATGGCAGGTTGCCCATCGTGGGAAGGTCCCATAAAGGGAAACTTGCCACAAAAGTAAAAGGCAAGGGTGATGACCAAGAGGGCAGAAATGAAGCAAACAAGGACCATGAGCCACTTGGACCACCCTGACATGAAAAGGTGTATCAGATCCAAATGTCTTGTGTTTAGTGAGGGACTTCTGAGAGCCGTGACACCCTCGGCTGTATGCTCACACAGTGTCTCCAGGGCAGACAACAGGATGACCCAAAGCCTGGGCTCTGAGTTCTGGGTGGATCAGCCCTTATGTGAACTCACTGGGATGAGCCAAGGAATAAAAGGTGCCGACGTGGGCTTCGGAACTGCGCGGTGGAGTGTGCCTTCCTGATCTAACAACAAATATGATAAACAGGGTAGAGGGGACAGAGGAGAGGGCTACTTGCTCACCCTCAAGCAGCTGAAGGGAAAGACAAAACCCAGGGCCTACTCACCGAACAAACCGAAGTTGGGGGCATCACCAACGGTGGGGGGCTGGGAACCTTGTTTGGGCACCAAATGTTGCAGGTTCCCTCACAGGTCCACCCCACGAGGGACTGCAGGGAATGAGGGTTCTGGCCAA